GCCAGTGTATATACACCGAGAGGTTTTTATCGCTCAATGTATATACAATGAAAGGTATGTATCTCTTACTATATATACACTGAGAAGTGTATGTCTTTAAATGTATATGCACTAGTAGTTTATATTAATCATTATTTTAGTTATTAAAGTATTCTTGACTGGTGGTGTACATGTGACCTGCAGCCTTAATGAGCCTCGTGTAGTAGATAAACTTCAAACCCCCATTAAGTTAATCCTAATGTATTTGTCTATGATATAGAACATGATTATAGATTTTTGCTCAGTGTAAAGCTGTACACAGAGCGAAACATTGTCTTGCTACAGCTCTACACAGGGCAAAACATAGGCAACCTCGGTGACAGCACTTTTACAATTCTGTTCTAGATTCTTGAGCTAATCAGTCAATCATCTCGCCGTGTTCTCATATCTGCCGTGTCCTCCCACGTCTGCCGTGTACTCCCCATGTCTGCCGTGTACTCCCCATGTCTGCCGTGGACACACTGACATTGTGGGGACTCTGTGCCAACTTTCAGCAGCAGCCTCTTCAACTCCCCAGTCACAATCTGTCAAAAGCACCGCGTCATGAGCAAAAATCAGCTGTGGATATTCCCACATTATGTTCGATTCCTCTTATTTCTTCCCTGTGTTCCTTTTCCTGTTTACATTTCCTTTATTTTGGCGTTTCTCATCCAAAGGTCGTACTCTGATTTACAATCCTTCCCTTAAACGCCAAGATAATAGATAATGGTACCTAAAATAGATATGAACGGATGGTTCATCCGGGGACTGATGTCCTATACTGTCTGTCTTTCCCATGTACTCTCAGCAGAAGATATGTCAATTACTCCTATACTGTACTCAGTGTACAGAAGTAACGCTTAAAGACATGAGGACAGACATAGACTGCAGACTAAGCTATTGTTGGAGTAGAGTTGTACCACGAGAAGCTTGTTCCATAGCACTGGTTGGTTGGTTAATGAGGTTTAAAGTCTACTACACGAGAGGGTTTAAAGTCTATCTACTACACGAGGGTTATTAAGGCTGCAGGTCACCTGTACACCACCAGTCAAGGCTAATTTAATATCTAAAATGGTGATTAATGCAAATTACCAGTGTATATGCACTGAGAGACACACACCTCTCGGTATATTAACACATTATAACTATCATACTCATACATACAGTATTTTCTCCTAACTTCAAAGAAATTAAATTTTTTGGGGATGAGTTTGAGGTTAGGGATTGAGCCTTGCAAGACGGCACTCACACCTTCCAAATTTTCGAGACTAAAAATTTGAAAATTCTGAAAATTTTGAAAATCCTGAGAAAAACATTCACACTAATTAGCATTGAAAATTATGTGTTTAATAATGTACTAATTTTCCATAGTCGAAAAATGGCAAAAATAAGAGAAAATAAAAAAAAAACGAAATGATATATATATATATATATATATATATATATATATATATATATATATATATATATATATATATATATATATATAATATATATATATATTATATCATTTTCGTAGGGTGGCCCGAAAAAGAAAAACTTTCACAATCATTCACTTCATCACTGTCTTGTCAGAGGCGTGTTTACACTACAGTTATAAAACTGCAACATTAACACCTCTCCAGAGTGCTGGCACTGTACTTCCCATCTCCAGGACTCAAGTCCGGCCTGCCTGTTTCCCTGAATTCCTTCATAAACATTACCTTGCTCACACTCCAACAGCACGTCAAGTCCTAAAAACCATTTGTCTCCATTCACTAATATCTAACACGCTCACACACGCTCAGTTTTGGTAATCCTGCACCTCCTTCTAATTTTCAAACTACGAATTTTCTGTATTATATTACACCACACATTGCCCTCAGACACGACATCTCCACTGCCTCCAACCTTCTCCTCGCTGCAACATTCACCACTCATGTTTTACATGGGTTGGTATAACTATACTCTTATACATTCCCCTCTTTGCTTCCACGGACAAAGGTCTACTCAGACTCCTCAGTGCACTACTCACCTTTCTCCCCTAGTCAATTCTATGATTCACCTCATCTTTCATAGACCCATTTGCTAACACATCCACTCCTAAATATCTGAATACATTTACCTCCTCCATACTCTCTCCCTCCAATCTTATATCCAATCTTTCGTTACCTAATTTTTTTGCTATCCTCATCAGCTTACTCTTTCCTATATTCACTTTTAATTTTCTTCTTTTGCACACCCTACCAAATTCATCACCAATCTCTGCAACTTCTCTTCAGAATCTCCCAAGAGCACAGTGTCATCAGCAAAGAGCAATTGTGACAACTCCCACTTTGTGTGTGATTCTTTATCTTTTAACCCCACACCTCTTGCCAACACCCGAGCATTAACTTCTCTTACAACTCCATTTATAAATATATTAAACAACCACGGTGACATCACACATCCTTGTCTAAGGTCTACTTTTACTGGGAAATAATTTCCCTCTTTCCTACATACTCTAACTTGAGCCTCACTATCCTCGTAAAAACTCTTCACTGCTTTCAGTAACCTACCTCCTACACCATACACCTGCAACATCTGCCACATTGCCCCGCTATCCACCCTGTCATACGCCTTTTCCAAATCCATAAATATCACAAAAACCTCTTACGCTTATCTAAATACTGTTCACTTACATGTTTCACTGTAAACACCTGGTCCACACACCCCCTACCTTGTTCATCTGCTATCCTAATCTCCTTCTTACTCTTAATTCTTTCAATAATAACTCTACCATACACTTTGCCAGGTATGACTCAACAGACTTATCCCCCTATAATTTTTGCACTCTCTTTTATCCCCTTTGCCTTTATACAAAGGAACTATGCATGCTCTCTGCCAATCCCTAGGTACCTTACCCTCTTCCATACATTTATTAAATAAAAGCACTTACCACTCCAAAACTATATCCCCACCTGCTTTTAAGATTTCTACCTTTAACCCATCAATCCCAGCTGCCTTACCACACTATACTATATATATATCTATAATATATATATATAATATATATATATTATATATTTATATATATATATATGTATATATATATATATATATTAATATATATATATATATATATATATATATTATATATATATATATATATATATTGTTTGTTGCAGTGTTTATGGATTCTTTGACTGTGACGTCATTGTTTACGTCGAAGTACGTTACTATTGGTTACTGCGCCGTGACGTCATTGTCTCAATCATTCGTAGCGTTGCCATTGGTTACTGAGCTGTGACGTCACCATCTAATGCCTCCCTACATTTCCTATTGGTTAACGTGCTGTGACATCACTGTCTCAGGCTTTTCCTAACACTCCCATTGGTTACTGTATTGCTACGTCAACTTTTATCCTTCCAAAATAATAGTAACGTGTCATTATTGATGTATTACTCTTACTGTGTTGTATTGTGTCTCATCTGTCTCTCACATATTACAAACACACTCAAACACACACACAGACACACACACACACACACACACACACACACACTCACACACACTCACACACACACTCACACACACACACACACACACACACACGCACACACACACACACACCTACGGATAGCGTTCCGATACCTCAGTAAGGATTCGTTTAAGACTCTGTACACCATCTACGTCAGGCCCATACTGGAGTATGCAGCACCAGTTTGGAATCCACACCTAGTCAAGCACGTCAAGAAATTAGAGAAAGTGCAAAGGTTTGCAACAAGACTAGTCCCAGAGCTACGGGGATTGTCCTATGAAGAAAGGTTGAGGGAAATCGGCCTGACGACACTGGAGGCCAGGAGGGTCAGGGGAGACATGATAACGACATATAAAATACTGCGCGGAATAGACGAGGTGGACAAAGACGGGAAGTTCCAGAGATGGGACACAGACACAAGAGGTCACAATTGGAAGTTGAAGACTCAGATGAATCAAAGGGATGTTAGGAAGTATTTCTTCAGTCATAGAGTAGTCAGGCCATGGAATAGCCTAGAAAGTGATATGGTGGAGGCAGGAACCATACATAGTTTTAAGGCGAGGTATGATAGAGCTCATGGGGCAGGGAGAGAGAGGACCTAGTAGCAATCAGGGAAGAGGCGGGGCCAGGAGCTGTGACTCGACCCCTGCAACCACAAATAGGTGAGTACAAATAGGTGAGTACACACACACACACACACACACACACACACACACACACACACATACTCAGTCACATTATATAGACCGAATAGGTAAAACTTGCGATTTTGGCTTCAATAGCAACTCTCTTCTTGCCGAATAAGACAAGCTAAAATTGTGTGTATGTAATAATTTCGCAAAAATCAATCTGAACCTAACGAAGAAAATTTTATTGTATTTGTTTATTATTAAATTATTGTAAACATATCTAAAAAGTATTTAGTTGTATTCGGCTAAATTAAATTGTTAAGTTTTCTAAGGTTCTTTTGGTAAAAATATATTAATTTTTACATTAATATAAATGAAAAAAATATATCCTTAAACGCATAAGAAATTTTTTTTAGAAAGTATTTAATTTTAAATGAATTCTTGCTAATTGATATATACATACATATATATATATATATATATATATATATATATATATATATATATATATATATATATATATATATATATATATATATATATATATATATATATATATGTATATATATATATATATATATTGCGTGACATCAATGGTAACTCCATGACATCATTACAGTTATATCATGACGCCAGTATTGTGATGTCAGTAGTTCCTGACTTCATGATGATATCATGGGAAAATTATATTTCTTATACATATAAGGATCATTAGTCTCTCCAAGGCTGGAGAAATAAAGAGATATCTCACGAGGAAGAGGGAGAGATAGAGGGAAGAGAGCGAGAGCGAGAGAATGCATTGGGGATGTGGGTAGGAGGGGGATAGGCCTACGGGACAAGATTGTTAGACTTACCGTCTTGACTGCCAACTGCATCAACGGCCAGACCGGTCATGTCACCTGGAGTGACATTGCTAGCTAGCTGCATCAGTTCACGTCCCGTCACTCGTTTGAAGGGTATGTCTCCAGGCATGTCAGTCTGCCACTCCCAGGCACACTCCCCCTCCTCCTCGAAGTCGCACTGTAGGCCTGTCAAGGAAGGTTCTGGTGAGGGCGGGTAGGTTGCACTCATCCCAACGCCCAACACTGAAAACAGCATCACAGCACACAGGAGATGAGAGGCTGCGAGTGATCTCCATAGCGGGGAGTGCTGGGACCTTGCCGGCCCGGGATTGATTTCTGACGGTGTGGCTAGTGAGAGTGTTTGCAGAGTACTACCACAACTACAACTACTACGTTCACTACAACCACACACTGGATTCACTGCACTCATGGCTAGAAGGGAGGCTAGTAGCACAGACCACAGATGCGGAGGCTCGATTGTCTGTACAGATTCACTTCACATCTTAAGTAAAGGTCACTAGAGGCTTCCTGACCGGTTCATGGCCAGTTTATTTCCCCGACACACACACTGAACATGCACTTCACCACAGTTGCAAGGGCACACGGCAAAATATACATATATATAAATTTTTAATAGGGCCCAGAGCGTTGCAACCCTCGGGTCTCGTAGTTACTGATAGATCAACAGGAGGTGATGCCTTGGTGGTCAAGCTGGCCGTGAGAGAAAGAACAAGAGGCGGACACACTCCTGGTAGTGGTTGTCATGTGTTCCCCATGAAGACCCGACTTTCAGCACAGCCCTGTTCATCTTTGCCTACCATTTCGCATCAGCGCAAGGCACACCACCCCACATCCCCCGACCTTACCCAGCACTTCTGTAGCTATTGAGCACCGTCAGAGGGCCGCGGATTCGACAATATAGGGCGCTGAGGGATGAAGGTAAGGTCCACGTAGGTACGTGCAGGGTTGAGGATGCGACAGCGTGTGGCTGTGTGTGTATTTTCGTGGCAATACTGAGGTGGGTGGTAGAGAATCACTCCGCCTGCCCTGCTCGTTGCTTCCGCTCCCACACCAGCTAACCTCTGCGCACATCCACCACGCAACCTGCCTGCCTGCCTGCCTGCCTGCCTGCCTGCCTGCTCGCTGCAACCTGCTAAAAAAAACCTTTACGTTTCCTTACAATCCCTATAAACACTATCACTAAGTGCCTAGAGCATACACAGCTACTGACGTCTTCCCTTGTAACACAAAGCTCTCAGCTACCAGTCACTCCTTCAGTAACGTCAGCTAAAACATCCACCTGAGAAAGACGTCTCTCTTAGTAACTTTATTCAGGTACGGGTACACATAAATACAGTTACATAAATTATCATACATACCAGCATATGTGTAGATTACCTGGGATAACCCCAAAGAGAGTCAGTGACTTATTTACATTGGGGTTCCTTGAATTGTTTCCACTGGGGTCCTTGATTTATTTCCATTGGGGTCCTTGATTGATTTCCATTAAGGCCCTTGATTTATTTCCATTGGGGTCCTTGATTTATTTCCATTGGGGTCCTTGATTTAGTCCCATTGAGGTCCTTGATTTATTTCCATCGGGTCCTTGATTTAGTTCCATTGGGGTCCTTGATTTAGTACAATTGGGTCCTTGATTTATTTTCATTGCGAGTCCTTGATTTATTTCCATGGGACCTTGATTTATTTCCAATGGAGTCCTTGATTTATTTCCATTTGGGTCCTTGATTTATTTCCATCGGGGTCCTTGATTTAGTTCCATTGGGGTCCTTGATTTATTTCCATCGAGGTTCTTGATTTATTTCCACCGGGGTCCTTGATTTAGTCCCATTGAGGTCCTTGATTTATTTCCATCGGGGTCCTTGATTTAGTTCCATTGGGGTCCTCGATTTAGTTCTATTGGGGTCCTTGATTTATTTCCATTGGGAGTCCTTGATTTAGTTCCATTGGAGTCCTTGATTGATTTCCATTGCGGTCCTTGATTTAGTTCTATTTGGGGTCCTTGATTTATTTTCATTGGGGTCCTTGATTTATTTCCATCGGGCCCTTGATTAAGTTCCATCGGGATAATTGATTTATTTCCATTGGGGTCCTTGATTTTTTCCATCGGGGTCTTTGATTTCCAAAGGGGTCCTTGATTTAGTTCCATTGGGGTTTCTGATTTATTTCTATCGGGGTCCTTGATTTAGTTCCATTGGGCTCCTTGATTTATTTCTATCGGAGTCCTTGATTTAGTTCCATTGGGGTCCTTGATTTATTTCCATCGGGTCCTTGATTTAGTTCCATTAGGTCCTCGATTTAGTTCCATTGGAGTCCTTGATTTATTTCCATTGGGAGTCCTTGATTTATTTCCATTGGGTTCTTGATTTATTTCCATCGGGCCCTTGATTTAGTTCCATTTGGGAGTCCTTGATTTATTTCCATTGGGGTCCTTGATTTATTTCCACCTGGCCCTTGATTTAGTTCCATCTGGGTCCTTGATTTATTTCCATCGGGGTCCTTGATTTATTTCCATCGGGGTCCTTGATTTAGTTCCATTGGGGTCCTTTATTTATTTCCATCGGGGTCCTTGATTTAGTTCCATTGGAGTCCTTGATTTATTTCCATTGGTTTTTTATTTATTTGTACTGGGGTCCTCGTCTCAGCACATTCACTGAATGTTTGCAACTCTCTCCTAACTACTGATGCCTCCACCAATAACTCAAAAACAACTACTGAGAACTCCCACAACCAACTCAAAATACTACCCCCCCCCCTTGTCTAAAAAAAGCTACAGGAAATCCGTCACCCAAGACACTGATTTTTCTCACTAATAACATCACACCTCTGAAGATGACCAGTCACAACATCTATCTGGCCTGAGCAGCACCTCAAAGTCCTCTTAATAATCACCACGACAAGTCCTCTTACACGAGGACAATTTCGTCACAACCACACGTTCTGTAGTAGTCAACAGCTACCCCACAATTCACTACTACCCCACAATTCACTACTACCCCACAATTCACCACTACCCCACAATTCACTACTACCCCACAATTCACTACTACCCCACAATTCACTACTACCCCACAATTCACCACTACCCCACAATTCACTACTACCCCACAATTCACTACTACCCCACAATTCACTACTACCCCACAATTCACTACTACCCCACAATTCACTACTACCCCACAATTCACTACTACCCCACAATTCACTACTGCCCCACAATTCACTACTAGTCCACAATTCACTACTGCCCCCATAATTCACTACTGCCCCACAATTCACTGCTGCCCCACAATTCACTACTGCGCCACAATTCACTACTACCCCACAATTCACACTACTGCCCCACAATTCACTACTGTCCCACAATTCACTACTGCCCCATAATTCACTACTGCCCCACAATTCACTGCTGCCCCACAATTCACTGCTGCCCCACAATTCACTACTGCGCCACAATTCACAACTGGACCACAATTCACAACTGGACCACAATTCACTACTACCCCACAATTCACCACTACCCCACAATTCACTACTACCCCACAATTCACTACTGCCCCACAATTCACTGCTGCCCCACAATTCACTACTGCCTCACAATTCACTACTACCCCACAATTTACTACTACCCCACAATTCACTACTACCCCACAATTCACTACTACCCCACAATTCACTACTACCCCACAATTCACTACTGCCCCACAATTCATTACTGCCCCGCAATTCACTACTACCCCACAATTCACAACTGGACCACAATTCATAACTGGACCACAATTCACAACTGGACAACAATTCACAACTGGACCACAATTCACAACTGGAGCACAATTCACAACTGACCACAATTCACTAACTGACCACAATTCACAACTGGACCACAATTCACAACTGTACCACAATTCACAACTGGACCACAATTCACAACTGGACCACAATTCACAACTGGACCACAATTCACACTGGACCCACAATTCACACTGACCACAATTCACAACTGGACCACAATTCACAACTGGACCACAATTCACAACTGGACCACAATTCACAACTGGACCACAATTCACAACTGGACCACAATTCACAACTGGACCACAATTCACAACTGGACCACAATTCACAACTGGACCACAATTCACAACTGAACCACAATTCACAACTGAACCACACCTGAAATAACCCAATTCTCGTTTTGAATGTGGAGTTTGAATTGTTTCAGCCACAATATTGTGCATTTTGCTCTTTAATATTACTCCTCTTATTATACTCCTTCCATGCATGTATTTCTTACTATTTTTGGCCTATTTCTCCAATAACAATTTACTTGCTTGAGTAGGCCTACTCATAATAACAATTTACTTGCTTCAGTAGGCCTACTCATAATATACATTATTCGGATTATTAATCTGCCAGGATAAGATAATGCCAGGCAGTGTGGATTTTCCTCACCTTTTTTGTTATGTGTTGTGGGTTTACTCCCCCAGGATGCCACCCAAACCACTCGACTGATCACTCTTCTCACTGCTGGTTGATCAGGAGGCAGTAGGTGCTCGGAGACTTGCAGCCTGGTCAGTACCTGTCCCCAACCTGCCTGTAACCTGTCCACAATCTGCTTGTAACCTGTCGACAACCTGCTTGTAACCTGTCCACAACCTGCTTGTAACTTGTCCACAACCTGCTTGTAACCTGCCCACAACCTGCTTGTAACCTGTCCACAATCTGCTTGTAACCTGTCCACAACCTGCTTGTAACCTGTCCACAACCTGCTTGTAACTGTCCACAACCTGCTTGTAACCTGCCCACAACCTGCTTGTAACCTGTCCCACAACCTGCTTGTAACCTGTCCACAACCTGCTTGTAACCTGTCCACAACCTGCTTGTAACTTGTCCACAACCTGCTTGTAACCTGTCCACAACCTGCCTGTAACCTGCCCACAACCTGGATGTAACCTGTCCACAACCTGACTGTAACCTGTCCACAACCTGCTTGTAACCTGCCCACAACCTGCCTGTAACCTGTCCACAACCTTCCTGTAGCGTGTCCACAACCTGCTTGTAATCTGTCCACAACCTGCCTGTAACCTGTCCACAACCTGCCTGTAACCTGTCCAAAACCTGCGTGTAACCTGTCCACAACCTGCCTGTAACCTGTCCACAACCTGAGTGTAACCTGTCCACAACCTGCCTGTAACCTGTCCACAACCTGAGTGTAACCTGTCCACAACCTGCCTGTAACCTGTCCACAACCTGAGTGTAACCTGTCCACAACCTGCCTGTAACCTGTCCACAACCTGAGTGTAACCTGTCCACAACCTGCCTGTAACCTGTCCAAAACCTGCGTGTAACCTGTCCACAACCTGCCTGTAACCTGTCCACAACCTGAGTGTAACCTGTCCACAACCTGCCTGTAACCTGTCCACAACCTGAGTGTAACCTGTCCACAACCTGCCTGTAACCTGTCCACAACCTGCTTGTAACCTGTCCACAACCTGCCTGTAACCTGTCCACAACCTCCCTGTAACCTGTCCACAACCTGCCTGTAACCTGCCCACAACCTGCCTGTAACCTGTCCACAACCTGCCTGTAACCTGCCCACAACCTGCCTGTAACCTGCCCACAACCTGCCTGTAACCTGCCCACAAACCTGCCTGTAACCTGTCCACAACCTGCCTGTAACCTGCCCACAACCTGCGTGTAACCTGTCCACAACCTGCCTGTAACCTGTCCACAACCTCCCTGTAACCTGTCCACAACCTGCCTGTAACCTGTCCACAACCTGCGTGTAACCTGTCCACAACCTGCCTGTAACCTGTCCACAACCTGCCTGTAACCTGTCCACAACCTGCCTGTAACCTGTCCACAACCTGCCTGTAACCTGTCCACAACCTGTACACAAACTTCTTATCTTACATCTTGACTAACATTTTTCAAATCCACCACAACTACTACTATTACTACCACCACTACCACCACTACCACCACCACCTCTACCACCATCACTACTACCAACATACAGGTGCTGAGGAAGGATGGAACCCTGTTAACTCTCCCTATAATTACGTCAGTCCGCCCTGCCCTCTCACCTGCCCTCTCACCTACCCACTCACCTACCCACTCAACTACCCACTCACCTACCCACTCACCTACCCACTCACCTACCCATTCACCTACCCACTCACCTACCCACTCAGTCAATTAAGTGCCCTAATTTTGATATTGTACGTCAAGGTCTCACAGTGGTGGGGATATTTCAGACACAGTTGGGGGAATGCTCAGCCTCAGGAGGGAACATTTGTCACCTAGCAGGTGGAATTACAGCTGGTGAGGATTTTCTTGCTAGCTAGGGG